ACCCACGGGGAGAAAGGGAGGGAGGGAGGGTGTTCTCTATTATAAGTGGTCTTTAACTGAATGCTAGGATGGCTGTCTATAGGGACTTTGTGCAGATAATTCACCAGTTGGAAGAGTTAGATCACAAAGGTACTAAAGAGATGAAAGAGTCTTTCTCATCTAGTCCCTGGCACCCAGGAACTTTCATGACTTTCATGCTAGTACATGAGTTCATGTAGTACCTCTACTGAGGGAAGGAAGTAACATTCACCGAGTGCCTGGGTGGCAGACCCAGGCCAGGCACTGTATCATCGCACATGCCCCTACCCAGGCAGAAAGCCTGTATCCTAGTTCTGTTGTCCCACTGGTTACTTCAGTGGGAAGTGACCCAATCCTCTCCTCCTTCCTGCGTACTGTGCATGCCCACCTTGAACTGGATCACCTTCCCCACGTTCTTGAACTCGGGGAGCACGTCCTCGTAAAAGTCCAGGAACTGCTGGTAAGTCTCCTCTTCGCTGTACTCCAGGCTGGCGTCGGGGTCATAGTCATCCCTTCTGCACTGCTCCATTCCAAATGTTGTAAACATGCTTCTAATAAGAAGAGTGGGACTTGATGTTGGGAAATTGTGTTTACGTGAACACCTGTATATAAAAGAAAAGTTAAAATTGAGTAGTCCAATAGTTAGAAATTACACTTAAAGAGCTTGAATTAAATTTGGAGACAGAGACTCAAGTAACTTGGCTGTTTTGACTTAATTGTAAAATAATAAAACTCATTCAGACATCAAATTTCAACACTTACAAAAACTGTTCTAAGACTCACTAATATATTGACATTAAAATGTAAAGTTGGAAATTATTTCCAAGTTCATTTGCCATTCAGATACCCTGTGTGGACTTAGGAGGAAGGTGAGAACAATACAACCCTGGTTCTATACAATCTCAACTAACCCCATGCTTACAGAATAGGGTAATCTAAGAGTTGTCAGCTAAGGAGTATTGCAATCTCATACATGTACAGCATTTCATAGTTTTCATGGCATTTTTTACATTTTTTCCTCTGATCCTTGCAACCTGTTAGGACATTTGGGGCTAGTATTTCCCTGTACTTTGCAAAGAAGGAAGCTGAGACCTAGAGAAGCACACTTAACCAAGTTGCATGGCTGGTAGGTCAGAGAGGATCCAAAAGATCTGAGTTAACCCACAGTCTACTACAGTCTGTTCATTATATAGTATGGTAAATGTAATTAATTTTTATTTCATTGAAGGAGGCTAACCATTATGAAGAACAATTTTCTTTTCATTTTGTAAACTGGACCAGCCCATAGCTGAGCAATTTTTTAAGGATCTTTTATATGAGTTTATTTTCTTTCTTCTCCTAAAATAAAATGGGGGGCGGGGGCAATGTAGTTCAAGATTCCAAATCATAAAAATTTTCCTGATTAGGACAAAATTTTTAGGAAAAAAATCCCCAGAACTTAGGGGGGGAAAAAGTTGAAGAACTACACACATGTTGGAAAAAATAATGGCCCTAAAATGACTGTTTAGCTCATACTCGCTTTCCATGTGAGATACTGCACACAGAATGCCCCGCACACACTGTGCCCAGCTCAGAAATGTGCAATCAGTGTTCATTAATGTGAAATTTCCTTTTTTCTAAAGGATCCTCCTAGATTATTCAGTTAGGGACCTTGTGATGAGATCCATCTTCCCAAGTACAGCTACCGACAGAACAGAGAGCAAGGATTCAACCTGGCTGGCAGTGTTAGCAGTGAATCAGAATTGTACAAGTATGAAGCACATGCAGAATTAAACAAGAAACCAATTTAACAAGGTTGACATCCTGCTCATGGGCTTACTGCATCTGAATGAACTTGGCCCTAGTTCATTCAGATGCAGGGTGTCAAATGAGCATTTGAGTCCTGGAACAGAGCCAAAGTCCCCATCTAGGGAAAATGTCCCCTTGGCCTGAAGATAAGTCATACAATCCGAGTATGGTCTATCTCCATAGGCCCTACAGCTCCTACCGAAGTCAGCTGAGACAAAAGGGATTTGGGAAGGCAGTCTAACGCTGTGGTACCAAGCCTGTGTGATTCTAAGAATCACCTGGGGAAAACTGAGATTTCTTAGGTCCTGCTCCAGACCATCTGCTCAGACCTCGAAGAGAGAGGATCCATCTTTTCAAAGTAACTCCCCACCTGGTCCTGAAGGTCAGCCATGTTTAAGAACCCCTTGTTTACGACATACTATTTAGCCATTATTTGGATACTTGAGTCAAGTAAGACTGGCACAAAATCACATACTGAAACATGACCTTACCCTAAGGACAGCCAATAAACGGTGTGGGTCTCCAAATGCACCCTTGGGTAAAGCTAACTGACTGTGCCTCTTTTTCTCTTTTCAAGGGAACACTCCAGGTATCCACTACCATTGTCCTCATATATATATATATATTGCAGCTAAACTGTAGTAATTTATTGAAGGTCTCCGTAAGAAATATTCTTGTGAAAATTACGTATGCAACTGTTAACAAAACACCTATCAAAGTTATTATTCCCCTTCCTATTCAATGTCTTTATATAATATTTCATGGGAGAAACATTTAGAATCCAATACCATGAAAATTTCTGTCTTTCCAGAGATACTGCTCGTTATCTGCCTAGGATGTATTCAAATCCAGGGCCAAATGTACTGCACATTCACAATCCACTTTCTCCTGCTTTCTTTGATTTCGATTTATTTTATTAAACTTAGTGCAGGAGATTGTGAGCTTTCTTTAAATTGCTTCTGGAAATGGGTGAGGTATAAATAACTACTCCAATAACTAAGCTTTATTTTTCATCAGTAATATGTTATTTTACGAGGAAAGAAATAACCCCCGCTCAAAGCTCTGACTCTAAAAAATATCAACTCTAGAAAGGTTCTAGAATTGAACTCTACTAATTACAAAAACAAAACCAAAGAAATGCTTAGGCTATGGAAGTGTTCGTCTGATGATGTGACAAACCTCAACAGAAAGGAACAGTTGTGAGATCCAGAGCAAGTCCCTATGGCTCCCTGTAAAAGGGGCACAGTGTTTTAGTCTGAAGGGATGGTGCTGGATTTTGTAACTGCCAATTTCTTAGAATTGGATTTCACAACTCATCATTTGAACAATGAAAATATCCAACTCGCTCTCCTACTTTTTAAAAATAGTTGTGATGGTGAAATTTCATGTGCCTATCAAAATATTAAGAAATGTTCACAAACTAATCTGACTACTGTCAGTACTTCCTTGAAATGACTCTCTGGGGTGAGTTTTGAAAGCCTAACAAGCCATTCCCCTTTCCGCAAATAAGCACTGTCAACTGATTTCTTGAAATCATTTAGGACATCTCCCCTTCTGTCTTATGCCCAACAGAAGGAGAATCCAGAATCAGATGACCACAAGTCTTAAAATTCAAGGAAATGTTAGAAATATATCATCAGTGAGGAATCCTGCAGCTGGAAGACTTTAAATGCAATCTGGTTCAACTATCCACACAAATATGAACTCATACTGAGTCTCAATTATCTTTCAAAGGTAATTCACTGTACATTTTTCCTTTGGTGGGGGGGGGTGTTTTATATCAACACTACTATTTCTTGATGAGACTGAACACACATTTGGAAAATACTTGTAAAGGTACAAAGGGAAATAGTTTCATTAGTTCCCAGTTCCTCAAGAGGAAACTTTCACTATTGACCAGATCCTGTGAATACTTTCAAAGATCTTCTGGGCAATATAATCCTACTATAAAATATAAAAGGAATTACACCCACTACATTAGGGACTCTCAATCCTGAGGCACATTAGAAACACCTGAGGACATTTCAAAACTAAGGCTGCCCAAGTGTCAAAAACTTTGATTTACTTCATATGAAATAGGACACAATTTTTTTACAGCTTTATAGGTGATTCTAATGTGCATCCAGGGTTGAGAACCACTGTTCTTAAAAATGTAAAATGGTATTACGGCTTAAATTTAAAAAGAAATAGAAGAGAAAGAGAGAAGGTTCCTATTTAATAAACTCATGGCATGGATAATTTTATGAATAAGATAAACACAAGAGACAACATATAGTTTCTTGTTGAATACATACGAAATTGCCTATTCATATCCCTTTCTGGAATAGGACACTAAGATATGATTAGATCTTTTCTTCTGTAGAATGCATAGTAATAATTAGATTTTGCCTCGAATGGACTCATTCACCACTATGAATTATTTACCAACTTTGAATTATTCATTCATAAACAGGCCAAATTATAAAAATCACCATTGCCTGGCATATAGTAGGTATAAATAAACATTAGCTAAATGAATGAAGATATCAACATTTAATTTTCCACATGAATGTCTTGTTTCAAAAACACTGATGCAAAAGAAGCAGGGAACAAGTGTCTCAGAGAATAAGGGCAATGATAACAAAAACACTCAAGAGTGCTTGCCATTTTCCCAGCACTATTCTACCTGCTTTCCTGCATTCACTCATTCTAGCCTCACAACCCCCTTATAAGGGGGAAGGGGTGAGGGGTGGTGGGGGAAGCAGAGGACAGACAGCTGGGGAACTGGAGAAGCAGCAAGAACACAGCAGATGCCTGAATGCGAACACCTCAAGCTCAAACCCAAGTCACCCCCAAAAACAGAACTCAAAAACCTCATTTTCAGGCACTTAATTCTGACATGATAAAACAAATTTACCTATCTCCAAATCTGCAAGCTCCTGTTTTACTGTAGAATGGACAATTAGCTCGATCTTTCTCCATTATTCTTAAGTCCGTGGGTGGTTCTGGGTTTTGCCATGTGGCATTATTTTCCAACTGTTGAAAATAAATATGACTTTACTGGTGGTGTAAAAATTCATTAAGATTAAATGTTTAAAATGTATTAAAATATCTTGGTCAAAAATAAAGACGAATTCTTTTAATAATATACACACTTAAGTTGTAACATGCAATTGAGACTTTACAAATAATTGGGCTGAGACACAAGCTGTGTCCCTCTCTTGGCTCCCAGTCATTGCCCATTATAAGGCATCACTGCAGCGACTAAGAACAGTCACCAAGGTTTCCCCTTGTCCATACATTCTGAAATGGTCGAAGGACTTCTTAGGAAACCTTCACTGAGAGAAATCAAGGTTACTCTGAAGTAGGTTAAATGGTCCATCGGGGGTAAGAGTGTGCGCTGTTTCTTATCTGTACATTAAGCACTATAAACAAGTATAGCACACAGGGATGATTCAATACCATTTGCTTTTGTTCATCGATAACTTTTGTGGTTCTTGTTGCATAAATCACAGAGTAGCAAAAGTGATCCCAGATATTTCAGACATGATTTAAAGAGCCAACTGCAAAATTAACATTGCTGGTAGTATTGTTTTTAAAGAAATCAGTCTCAAATTCTTAACAAAAGGTTTTGAAAATACCTCATTTTCAGCCCGCTCCCGCATCTTCTGCACAGCCTCCTACAAATGGTGCAAACATAGGACTAATGAAAACCTGGAAGTCAGGTAAGTCACATCTGGTTTCTCTGGTTAAGAATCTCGTGTGTAACAATTTTTAACAACCCACCCATACAAAAAGCTTCAGTTTCTAATTTGCTTTCTACAGCACAGACCTTCTGAAAAGATTTCAAAGTATATCATTGAGTTTTTATTCAAACAGGACATTTAATGGCTCAGATTGCAAAATACTGAAAATATCTTATAATAGTAACAGTCATATTTAGTATATTTGAGCATATATATCCCATACTAGTTTTTAAGATGAGGTATTATGGGTATTATAAAACACAATGTTAGAAGAAACACCATAAACATTTAACAGATGCTAAAATATGAACAGTAGTAATTAGGATTGATGGAAAATCTCAAACTTTTTGATAAGGCAAAGGAAGTCCTGCAATATGCCAGTAGATTTGACCTCATTGGCATTTAAACATGTTTCTGAAATTATGGTCAACAGACTTCTCTTCCCTAGCCCCTTAATGTGTTACATAAACGGCTCGTCTGTCTAGCTGCCTGCTTTATAACTCTACCTGGTCACGTAAGGGTCCTCAGTAACTTAAATGCTCAAAATAAAACTCTACTTTTCCCCTACCTCTCACTCCTCTAAATGCTCCATTTCAGTTCAAACTAAAAACCTACAAGTGTATGATTTAAACTCCCCTCCCTTCCTTTCCCCTCCCTGTATATTCGGTCTACCAGCTAGAGCCCTGTTAACTCTGCCTCAACACACCCCATATCTGTGTACTTCTCTGTATTAAGCACTGCCCTCATCCAAACCACCACCATGTCCTATCGAGAACAGCTGCCTTCCAACTGGTCAACGTATTTCCACTTTTGCCTCCTTGTTCACCGTTCCCACCCCCGCCCAACCTCCCTTCTTTATACAAAAGTTAGAATAACCTGTTAAAGGTAAAGATATAAATTAGATGAAGTCACTCCTTGCTTCAAAACCCTTCAATGGCTTCCCATTACTTTTCACATAAAATCCAAATTCTTCCTTCCAGTCCAGGAGGCCTTACACGATCTGATCCTGGCTCCCCCTCCTGACCTCCTCCCCTCCCGCTCTCTTCTTTGGTCTCTAGGATTAAGGCACACTGACCTTCTTTTGGCTCCATGCTCAGGCCTCTTCCCTCTGCCTGGACCCCTTTTCTCCCTGAGATCTCTACACTCAGGTGTCAGCTCACACATTTGCTCCTTGGAGAAGGAAGCTTGACCAGGCAATCTAAAGAAGTACTTCCGTACCCCAGTCACTCTACCACAAGACAGTTTTTCTTTATAGCACTGTTTTTCTTTATAGCACATGATCTTAAAATGAGCTTTTTTGCGTACTTGTCATCCAGCTCTCCCCTCTAGAAAACTAATTCAGTGAGAGCAGAGACTCTCTTTTTTGATGCTTTATCTCCGTCCACTAGAGAAGTATCTAACACAGAGCAGAAACACAGATTGCATATCCCTTTACATATGCTTAGAATCTACTTCATTTATCCACTTCTCCTTCATGTCTCATCAAATTTCCTTTGAAACAAAAGCCTTAGCTTTTTGAAAAGAATCCTTAGCTTTTATCTAATGCCAGATAGACCTCAACTGAAGAACATCCTACTGCTAAAATGGGAATTGATTACTCTCTATTAAAAAATGACAGGTTCCAAACAATTGTCCTGCCCCTAAAAACCTAGTGTAGTCTTGCCTTATCTGGAAAGCAGTGCCCAAATAAGGGTGTCTAAAAAACTTGCACTGGAATTAACTGATAGCCTGAGACACAAAAAACAAAGGTCAAAGAGGCTGCTTCTACCCCATCACGACTAGGGTGCAAATAAATGCATTTTTCCCCATGATATAGTGATTAACTACCCAATTCAAACCCAGCAATATTACAGAAAAGATACATCCTGATGAATGACTCAAGGAAAGAGGAGCTGTGATATCTTTGAAATAAATACACTGTTAAGGAACAGCAACAAAATATACCAAATCAATCTTTAAGAAGAATCCTAAAGATACAGGAGATATGTACATATACCCTTATATATATATTTTTTTAATGAGCAACTGTGTGTTAACTGTGATTGTATTATAGCCCAAGTTGGAAAGGAAGTCAAGACTTAATAATAGAAAACTTTCCAAATTCCTCAATATTTGAATTCCTGATTTCTTTCAATCAACTATTGCTGATGTTATAAACAGTTAACTCTCTTATAAATTAAATAAATGTGGAAACTATACAAAATACTATTTTCTAAGTGAACCCATATACAGCAGAACCTCAGAAAAACACCATTTGCTCTAGAGTGGTACATAGTATAAAGCAGAGGCCCACTGCCTGTTTTTGTAAATAAAACAATAAAGTTTTATTGGAACACAGCCACAACCATTCATTTACAGATATCTATGGCTGCTTTCACAGCACACTGGCAAAGCTGGGTATTTGCAACAAAGACCATATGGACCATAAAGCCTAAAATGTTTTTGCTCTGGCCCTTTAGAGAAACAGTTTGCCAATCCCTAGTGTAATGGGTAAGATGGGTAGAGCTGAAGAAAAGCCTTAATTATAGTATCCACCACTGCACAGATGAAAAGAATTTGAGTACCAGAAGGAAACTATAGTAGTATTCTTTACTAAAAATAAACAAAAACCCAGAGCCCAAGCTCTCCTATGCCTATACCTTAGTCTTCAACCCCATCACTTGCCACAACTGCTCACTAAGAGGATACGCAGTGTGTTTGCCCTCCTGTAACAGGAATCACCTCTCTTTCTCTCTTCTCCTGTAGCTTCTGCTCCTCCTCTTCTTTCTCTTTTCTCTGCTGTTCTTCCCATTCTTCCTTTAACTTTCTCTTTACGAGGGGAAAAAAGAAGGAAAAGTAATATTTTTTCAGACTCACTTTTTAAACCATTTAATATACAGGGCAAATAAATGAAAAACTTTTAACATTGGTAAAATGGATAATATCCATGTTTTTGAGTTCAAGATATATAATTCTTAATGAGTTTTGGTTAACCAATTAATTAGTCAACTGGTTATCTGATTAATACTGTACCTCCTGTTCTTCCTGCCGTTTTCTAGCTGCCTCTTCCTTTTCCTTCTTTATTCTGAATTCTTCTTGTGCCTTCTGCTCCCGCAGCAACCACTCCTCATGTAATTTTAGCCTATCAATGTGATAATGTAATCAAATAGAAGAAATGGTCATTAACCTACAAATACACACAAACACAATAGTAAAAATGACATGTTTGGGAGTGATTAACTATCATGAAAGACATTTCTAGAAAGCAGTTAAATGGAAGCAAGAGGGTCATAAGACATGAGTAACAATCTTAGAAAGGCACAACATTTCAGCAACTATCTTCCTAGAGGGTTAACAGCTTAAAATCACTACTCCTACATTTCATATCTGTGACATCTCTTACATAAAACAATGACATTACAACTTTCCCTGTAGGTTGACCACAGTGATGTTTAGATGCCAATAAAGTAAGTAACAAGTTTCAAAGCCACATCTAGCTTTTCACATTCAGAAAATATTACCCTTCCTATTCTGTGAATTTTAAAAGTGGCAATTGCAGGATTGCAGCACTAGGGAAAACTGGCATCGTCTACCATAAACCTTTGGACTCCTACTCTATGCAGTTAAGAGACTCCTGTTGTTTGCCCCAAGCACTGAAACTGCTGAAAGAAGGGGGGGGGGAGGGACCTACATCATAATCATGTCTTTAAAATGAAGAAAGCTACAGGTTTTAAGAAAAGATGACAAGGAGTTATAAAAATAAATTAGCAGGTGTCTAGTCTATTTTTAAAAATGACCAATTATAAAGAGTGATGCTATCTTCAAATGGTGTCTCGGACATCAAATAGCACAAGTTTCTAATTTAAAGATGGGTTATGTCTCAAAAATGTATTAGCCAATCAGGTGTTTAGAACCTAGATTGCACTTCCCCATGGAATCTAGAAACAGAAAATGAAATATAAGAAATTGTTCTATATCTCTTTAGTGACATTAGGAGTTAAATAAGGTTTTATGTCCAGCCTGGGGACCTAACCACAATTTCAAATACTCTATGGGGAAAATATATTCCATTTCCAACTGCAGATTCTAGGAACATGCCTTTTAGCCATGGTGGAGACTGGCATACTGCAAATGTTAAAAGTTATGCATGGATTTTTAACTGCGCAGGGAGGCGGTGCCCCAATCCTCATGGTGTTGAAGGAACAACTGTGTAACGTCATCATAACAGAAATCTATAATAAGAACCAGAGTTATCACAGCCCCTCCTATCTGCTAACACTATGTTAAGCACTATGCACTTACCACTTCATCTAATTGTTCTGATTCTATGAGGTAGGTACTAAGATTGACTTTATCTCCATAATTAAGGAAAGGAAGCTGAAGCTTAGAGAGATTAAGCAACTTAAACACAGCTAGTAAGTAGCAGGGCCAGGACTGGAATGCAGATCTGGCTGAATCCACTGAATATTCCCAATCACTATTATATATTTTTCTTTTTGGTATTTTGATCATTTTGCCTATTTATGTGCTTAGGTAGATAACAGGAATTAATTATAAGAAAAGAAGCATCATTTCCAGTGAACACACTAAATAGCTAGAGAGTGTCTATAAAGTTTTTTCTTCTTTTAAAAATTTTTTATCTTTTATTGTGGCAAAATATACCATAAAATTTACCATTTTAACTATTTTTAAGTGTACAAGTGAGTAGCAATGAGTACATTCACATTATTGTGGTTAACTTAAAACAAAACAAACAAAAAAACCTGCCCCCTGAAAAATACTGAGAGAGAAAAACAGTATTTTTGTCATCTTGGGATGGGGAGGCCTTTTTAAGTCAGACACCAAGGCCAGATACAATGATAAAAGTTGACAGCATGAAAATCAAATTATGGTAATTAGTGCTATAAGCCAAGTTAGGACTGATGACAAATCTGAAAAAAATATACATAACAGATATGACAGATAAAGAATTAATATCCTTAATCAGGTAATAACATTGCTTACACAACAAACTTAAAAAATATATACCAAAAGAGAAAGATGCAAGACTTAAGCAAGCAATCTACAAATAGGTAATAAAATATATAAAAAGATACGCAACCCTACTAATTAAGAAATGTACATTTGAAACAATGAAATACAACTTTTGACTATAGGAGTTCATAAAATTGATAATACCTAGTGCAAGTGAAGGTATGGGGAGATGGGCACCTTGATTCACTGTTGGAGGGGCTGCAGACTGCAAACTGGGATGCCCTTCCTACCTGCCCATCTACATTGTATGTGTATTTATCCTTTGATCGCAACCATTTCATTTCCAGGCATTTTCCTAAGGAAATAATAGGACAATTACTAAGGATATATATGGTCACTGCAACTTTTATTTTAATCGTCACCGGAAGACATGTTTTTCATTGATTTCAGAGAGATAGGAAAGGGGAGGGAGGGGGAAGAAGAGAAAGGGAGAAACATCCATGTGAGAGAGAAACATCCATTGGTTGCTTCCATATGTGCCCCGACCGGGATCAAACCTGAAACCTAGGTATGTGCCCTGACCGGGAGTGGAACCCATGACATTTAGGTATATGGGACAACTCTCCAACCAACTGAGCCAAACCGGCCAGGGCTCTTTCTTACATTTTTAACAGTGACTATCTTTGGGTGTGTTGAGTTCATTAAAGCCCTTTCACTTTTTACACTTCTCAATTATTTGGGTTGTGTTTTTGTTTCTAAAACATTTATGAATTAGTAAAAACAGTGAAAAATATTTCCATTTTAAAAAAATGACAACACCTAGTTTTAGCCTGTCAGGTATTTTATAAGACCTATTTTGGATAAGGTGTTATAAAGACCCATACTCATCAGTAAAGACATAATATTCAAATGAAATCACTGGCTTCATGAGAAGTGCTGACCTCTCTATCTCCAACAGCTTCTCTTCTTGTTGTTCAATCAAAGATTCCTCCTCTTCCTCCTGCTTCTTCTGTGAGAGTCCTGGGGGGATTGAAATGTTTTATTAAACTATCTGAGTACAACAAAACCTTAGTCAATAATTCAGGAAAAAATATAGATTCTTTAATCTTTATTTTTTATTTATTTATTTTAATCCTCATTCGAGGATACTTTTTCCATTGCTTTTCAGAGCATGGAAAGGAGGAAGAGAGGGAGGGAGAGGGGGAAGGAGAG